TTATTGAACGATGGCATGATGAATGCATATTTATCCGTCCATTCCTCATTAAAACTGCGGCTTTCACGCCTGGCAAACAATTTTCTTAAATCCTGCAACCGTTTCCCACCAATCAGGACACGGTATTAATAAAAAAGTTGATTCCTTTCCCTGCCAATCAGGACTGCTTTCAGTTTTATTACCCCGGATACAGGCTTATAAAAAAAAAGATTATTCTTCAATAAAGTGAACATATTAATCAATTATATAGATTTATATATAAATATATATATATAAAAATCACTGGCCCCCGAAAGTGTCTCTTGGATTAATTGTGGCCCTTGGACAAATGTAGTTGGTGACCTCTGCCCTAAAGAAATCTTCTCTAAATACCACCTTTTATTTCCTTAAGTCAAATATGTATCTGCTGTTGATCTTGAAATTCCCCATGAACCTTAAATAACTATAAATAAAATCAACTAAATGTTTACCTCTTGAATTGAAGCAGTTATTTCAGCTGAATTCCAGCACGTTCTGATCCTCCCTCAAATAAATATGTAGTCTGGGTCAGTTTACATTTCTTTTACATCCAATATTTTGTTATTTTGATTGAATTTCTTTTTTGATGAACGTTAGACTCAACGAGTGCTCACACTTGAAACATTAGTATATTATGTGAAATATTTTCCTTAACCAAGTGGTGAAGCTTGATGGCATACTATAACAGGATCAAATGAAGTAAAACGTGCAGAAAATGATTAACTGTCCACACAAAAAAAATCACAATTTAAAAAGGATAGCTGAACAAATGGATGAGCAAAGAGGGCGGGGGCGAAGAAAGGGGTCAAAGGTTATGAAAATAAATATTCCTAATGTTTTGAAAAGTTCGGGTTATTCCTTCTGCACGACATCAGTACATTTCCTTTGGGTGTCCTCAGCTAATGTTTCACTACTCCTGTAATTCCCCCCTGGCTTTCCTTTGATGCCGCAGAGGGATTGTAATCTCCATTACATATGAGGGGCCACTATCTCGCACAGCTGTTCTCTCCTCAGCGATCGCTTTCAATCTGCCTCCTCCTTTGATTTATAACTTCCTGTTGTCCTTGGGGTTGCTAAATTTCACTACACTTTCTGTGTAGCAACAATTTGAAACTCCAGCTCATTTGGGGCTTGGGAGCGCTGACCGCAAGGCCTGGCTTTAGGGTCCAAAATAGTTTGGAGTCAGGGGGTGAGATAAAACGGTTGTTGGGATGGAAAACGAAATGACTTTTCTTGCTGAGCTTGTCTGGTTGTGCAGGTTTGAGGCCTGTGAGAACCGACCATTTTAGGATGATGTTTGTGCACGTGACCCGAAGTGGGTCCCCTCCCTCAGGGGCCAAATGTCCCATTAGCTGTCGTGGATGGTGGGTGGGGGCAACACTCGAGTCATTGTTCCACAATCTTGCATTTGGATTAGCGCAGTTAAAATAGCAAATAACCTGCGTATCAGACAAGGCTGTCTACACATGATGATAAATAAGAGTATGAAGCTGATACATAACAGCCAAATCTCCGCTGGGTGATTGTGTTGTGGAGTGAGCGCGTCACTCCTCATTAGGCTGCATTCATCTCAAGGTCACTGAGGCTGAACCCCCCCCAACCCTTCCCACATCTTCCTCCACTTCCTGTCCCAACAGCTGGTCCTCCCACATCCTCTAGAAATGTATCATTTCAGTCTATTTCAAATGTATATAGAGAATTTGTACTAAATATAAAAAATGTCTTTACAGTCAATCTGCACAATCAACATTTCAATTAGCAAGAGACCTTCAATTCAAAAACAGGAAGCCCGTGAATACAGAAGCACAAAAGTGCAGCGGGAATAATAAAAACATTTATAACTGAATTTGATTGATTCCCAAAAAGCTACTTTGTTTTACGCTTTAATTAAAGGTGGGGTAGGTAATTTTGAAGAAACCAGAGTGCGCTAGAATTTGAAAATACACAGCCGGAAAAAATCTGCCACTTCCTTACAGAGCCCCTCCTCCAACACACACGAACGCACACATGACCAATTAGGGCACGAGATAAGTTTGTGCACAGATGGAAGGCTGACAGGCAGGTAGGCCATCCAGTTATTTTAGCCAGGCCAGCTAAAATGATTGGTCGTGCTTTTTACAGTCGCCACGGCTTCCACAGATGACAT